TGCTAATCATATAGGAAAAAGTTACAGCAGGCACAAAATTTTGTTCTAAGACAGATCACCAACTTGTCCTGGTATGTTCGAAATCAAAAACTTCATGATGAATTAGGCATTGCAGAATTGAAATATTTTTATTGCCGGCTTGCCCAGAATTTTTATGCTAACGTCACAAATATCAATAACCCTGTTATAAGGGTCTATGATTATGATGCAAATGGCCCAGACTTACTTTACGTGTACTGCACTTTATGACTTATGCTATGATTTAAATGCACCAGTTGACTCAAACTATCTGTATTGTATGTATGTATTATATGTACTTTATTTCTGCTAGAATACCTTATTATCACATTACTAAAAATATGATAATAATTTATAAAAAAAGTTATTATATCCAGGGTTTGTACGCTTTTTACACACAGAAATTAAGTACTTTTAAGGACTTTTAAGGACCATTAATGAAAAAATTAAGGACCTATGAGCAAATGAGAACTGAACAAATTCAATTAAAAATACTATCTGTGCCTGAACTTCACTTTTGTAATACCGTCCTAAACACAAAAGTAGGATGCATTACTATTAAACATAACTTAATTAACATAATTATTAATAAGTTATAGAATAAAATAAAACTTTATGAAATTTATCAAGTAGCATTAAATATTTTACACTTATAGTTGGACATATTAGAAAGAAGATAAGTGACATTTTATTTACGTTTTACTAACAGTTAGATTTATTAAGATTGTTGTTTTACTTCTAAATTAATAGTTAGCTTTATGTTGATTTTTTTATGTCTCATTTTCGACAGGAACTAATGCAGCAAGTATGTGGAGAATGGAAACACACTCTGTCTTACACTCCATACACCTCAGTTTATAAACTATCTAAGCGAATTGCATTCTGGTGAGAAAACAGAAATGGGAAATTATAGTAAAGGCTGAAATTATAAACAACTGGGTAATTTACATAATAATAACTGTACATACTAATAGCAATACATATCTTTGAAGAACCTTTCTTCAGCACGTTTCCTTTTCATTTTAGAATTTAAATTAAAGATTTCTGTTATTCTAAAAACACTAAATTTAGAAAGCATAGAAAAAGCTGCTAATTTTATATCTTTAGTAATATGAACATTCAGAAGCAATATGAAATACATATGATAAGGGCTGGTTACAGAGACGGTGTGGCAGAATTTTTAGAATTTAGTGACACACCAAGCAACAAAATCTAGAAATGGCAAAACTTTTAGAATTTAGAGCATGCATTGGAAGCAGAATTTAGGATCCGCAGAGATTGCATCAGGTGGGAAAATGCCTAACGCCAGCCCTGTGTATGATGCATTCAGACATATAATATGAACTATTTAAATTGTCAGTTTTCAATTTTTTACTATAAAAAAAATTTCTTTCTATAATGCCTGTCTTTCTGATAAGAATAAAAGCATTTTTGATATTTTCCATGTCTGTGTCTAGTGAAAATTAGAGAAAATAAAGGGAAGATAAACGTGTTAAGAAAAAGATTCTAGTATCAGAAGTAAAAACATTCAAATATTATGTTTTCTTTGTTCTTCCAGACCTTCTCCAAAAAAAAGTAAGAAAATACATTGTAAACTTTCTGCAAAATACATTCGTTACGTGTTAATAACATGGAGACATTTTTTCTGTAATTTTCTAGAATCTTGGGTCTATAAATTTTGCCTTCAAATCCTTCTTAACTTTCTAAGCTGCAATGTCTAAAATCCTAAAGAAAAATTCTATAACAGTAAAAAACCAGAAATATTTTGAGAAAAAATATCAGAGGGAAAAAGTGTAAAATTAATTTTAAAGAAAAAACTGAATATTCTGATAATTCTGAATACTCTGAGACATTGGAAAAACTCTTACCATGAAAAAATTTAAAAAGACATTTTAAATTATTTACATAGCTATTTTGCTTTTGCTAAAACTGTTTCGATAATTGTTTCGTATACCTTGCTTATTTTGAAGATTCAAAATATTGTATAATAAGTGGCCAAAATGGAACTTTATAATATGAGACCAAAAACTAAAAACATTTTATTTTAATGGTTTTTTTTAAACATAATTTCAATATTTTACCACTACTTTAATGAAAATTATCCATGTTACAATGTTTTAAAAAAAATGTCGAAAAATTCCCATACATCGAAATTAAAAATTTTCTACAGAAACTGATCTTAAAATCGCCAAAATGCTGATAAGTTGCCGAATTCAGATCCGTTTAATAAAAGAATTCACATCCCGAAAAGCCAAAAGTTGTTTAAGAGCTCTTCATTAGAAAAAATGAAATCATTTCAAAATACTTATGCTTCACTTCTTTTACTATAAAACTCGAAAATCCTAAGATTTATATTAGAAATAGGAACGAATTATAACCCATTCAAAAGATAACCATATCTGTCAGTCGAATCACCAAAAATATTCCTCCAAAACGCTAATTCACTCTCAAAATGGCAGTCATAAAAAACAGACAGCTATTTCCGATGATTAAAATTAAGGACCTTCTGCCGATTTTGGCCGAAATTAAGGACCATAAATTGATTCCAAAAAACTTAAGGACTTTAAGGTCTCTTAAACCGTACGAACCCTGTATATCTTATGTTAGTTACTCATAACAGTATTAAAAACACCTACATGTTCGACAAGGGGTAGGGTCCTTGACCAAGGCACCCTGGTCTACTAATCAAATTTCTTCTATTTCTAGTGATGAGCTTTCAGATTCTAATGACTCTTCAAATGACTCTAGCAACATCCTGGAAAGTAAGTGTCACGATTTGGACATGAGATCAAGGTGCCTCAGAAATTAGATATCTTCAAGCAGGTACTGTATATCTTTGAGCCGAACTGAAGTTGACACAAATGGGGGATGGATATGTAGGAGACAGATGCTTCAAACAGACGATTACATAACAGATGGGTAAAGTCAACAGAAGGAGCGCTGCTTTTGATTGCACTATTTTTATTATTGTCTTATTTTTTCTTTAACTGCAAACTAAACTAAGGTAAGGAGTATGGTATTGTGCACTTTTTCCCAATTTTGCAGTGAATATTTGTCACGATTAAGCAGTTTTGTTAGATAAAATTTCTAGCATAAGTGTAATTCGGTTAGTAGATTGTTGGAAGAAGTGTTCAGTAGATAAAAAGAAAAGAAACATGTCTTTACTTCGTGAAGACAAAATGGCAGCGGAAAAAAAAAAATAGAGGGTTGCTGTAGGAGAGTTGGTCGCCAAATTTTCGCCAAAAAAACGCCAAGTTACCATAATGTAAAGATCAACCAAAAGATCTAATTATAAAATGTATCTAACTTTGTAATTATTATAAATATTATCTAAATACATAATATCCTGAATATTGAATTATAAACTTAAATTGAAATCCTATTGACAAATACATTATAAAACTATTTAAGCAATAATTGTTCATACTGGAAAGCAATCGGTTAAAAGGTATTGTATCATAAAGCAAATTCTACAAGATGTGTACTTAAGGAAGTAATAAAAAAAAAAGAGTTTTGGAATATGTATTGTTGAAATTAAAGGTAAAAAAAAATCTGATAAGTATAATTAAAAGAATTATTCCCTTACACTTTATAATAACTTGGTTACAAAATTTAAATAATTTTTTTTTTTTTTTTTTTTTTTTAAGTTTTTTTGTTCCCTTTCAGAAATATTCTTAGAAAGTTAAATATATGGAAATGAGCACTAATATTTAATATATTTTACTATTAAAATAATAGGTACTCTAACTTTAAATGGACCAAATAGGGCATTAATTATAAATTGAATTAGATTTTTCAATTTAAAAGATGCCTCAGAAGCTAAAAAAACATGTCATATTTGAGAAAGTATTTTAGAAAGAAGCTCTATACATAGAAAAGAAATAATGCATAATTATAATATTAATAATACAATAAACTTTGATCTTAATTTTTGTAATCCTTAACCAAATAAAATTGAATTACCTAAATTTTTTTTTAATGTAATTAAAGAAAACTTGTGAAATATTTCATTTAAATTAAACTGTTCTGTGAAAAGTATAGCATGTAATTCCATTCAGAATGAAATGTTGTTTAATGTATTCTTTTCACATTTTTAGGATTCTGAATGCGAAAAGTACTTCAAAGCAGAGTATGAGGAAAACAAGTAGGGCATCTCCTTACTTCCTACCTCCATGATGTACGTAGCACCCAGACTTGTTTTTATAATGTGGTACACTTTAAGATATCATGCTCATCTTTCTTCCTTGTCATTATAGGAGTTTGGGGGCGTATCTTGTATGGAAAATGAAGAGGGCAATAAAATGGAGGGGGGCAATGCATTGCAGAAATAAAATAGGGTTCAGTGAATTTGCCACTCTGCCACTGGTGGGCCTTCAAAAAATTTCAACTGAATCTCCCAAATTTAATCAAAACATCTCTAATAATGTCTACTTCATTTCTGCATCTCTATTTAAACTTAAATGTAAACTTTTTTGTCCAATTGTTATTTTCTTTTTTTTTTTTCTTAATTGTGTGTGAAATCTCTACAAAAAGATTTATTTCACCGGTAATGCTCTTAGTGTAGATCTTTTTAACACTAAAGTAGACACAAAATTTTGTTATTCCAAATTAAATACGTGCGGCAGTCAGTTATTCCATAAAAAAGGGATATCAACGGTGAAACAGTAACACAGATAATAACAGCATGTGAAAGTATATACGCTCTTAGAAGAATACCACTAAGTTACAAACCTTCATATAACACAGCAAAAGCCGAAATTTAAGTGTTGGAACTATGCACAATTCCAGTATGCATTCTAAAGTTAAAAATACATAAATACTTCGAATTCGCATACATCAGTTTCTCATTAACGCTAAAGAAGGACATAATTAGCAGTCAAGCGGACAATAACGTTGAAATAGCCCACTCAATTTTTTTTTTCCAGAGAGAGAATAAAATCCTATACATTACAGCAATTAAAAATGTTTAAGGCTAAACTTACAATTTCTGGTGGAGCCACATGTTCGGGTCTCTGAGCAGCCATCTTGTCAATAAAGTGTAAACATCAACAACTTGCTCTGTTGCCAAATTATCTTTTTAAAAATAGGGGAAAGGAGTTTTTAAGATTTCTTTAAAAAATTGATATTGAGATGTTTCTCAGAGCTAAGTAAAGAAAAAATTTTAAAGCTTTATAATTAGCTTTAAAAGGAATTTTTACTTAATTCAATGATTTCAACTACGAAAAAAGAAAATGTTCACTTGTTTTTCTGCATTATTATTCAGCACTTGCGTTATATATTGTAACTATGCTTATTGTATTATGTATGTATCTCTTCTCATATATGCACATATTTTGTATCTTGTTATCATATTTTGTTTGACAAAACCAGTGTCAATTTAATATTTCAAATTGCTCAAACTTATCTATTATTTACCTACCTTTTTCTGCGGAAGGGGTTAGCCATTGAACTTGAGTGTTTGGCATTACATTCACTTAATGAAATGAATTCAATGAAATTGTGTAATCATTATGAGAATTATAAATATATTTTTCGTATGGGTAAGGTATTTCAGAGGCATTTCGTAGATGATGCAAATTCAGAAAAACCAAATTTATATGGAACTTTGGGCGTGAATACATCAGCATCCCATGCTGAAATAAAGCAAGCGTATTACGATCTGACTTTCAAGTATCATCCTGACAGAAATGAAGGAAGCGAAGAAGCAGCAATCAAATTCAGAGACGTAACAGAAGCGTACGAAGTACTTGGTAACTATGGTATGAGGAAGAGGTATGACAAAGGCTTACCTTTACCTGTGTCAGTAAGAGTACCGGTGGAGAAGAAAGACATTATTGAGCCTAATGTGAAATATCAAAAATTCTTTGACAGTCGTTCAAGGCCGCAGAGCACGTCTAATGAGAATGATATTGAAGATGAAAGACGTGATGCTCAAAAAACATCAGATCGTTTGGAAGCAGCAGCGAAAAGGTTTGAAGAGAGTTATGTACTTCAATTACCAGCAGCTGTGTTTTTAGTAGTAATTATTTTGTTAGTGAGATTTAAAGATTATTTATGAATAAATAATTAGATAGTTTAAGCATCTACTAATTTTTGCTTCGTGGAAAGCATATCTTCGCAAACCATTAAAAGTACATTTTTCCATCTCCAAATTATTTGTGATTTGTAACAGTATTGTCTAGCATGATTTTAAGTATGAGATATGATGATTATCGAAAATACACAATATAATTTAGTTATTTAGTAGTGCCGTAATAAATATCTGTTTCTTATGGTATATATCCTTCCTTAAGCGGATCTTCATAACAAAGAAGATTAATATTCTGTTTCAGATAAAGGTGCACATAGTAGCAAGAAATATTTTTGTTTATGTAACTGTTATTTATTTTTTGTTTGTATTTATTCCCCCCCCTTTTTTTTTTTTTTTTTGTTGTTGTTATTGTTTGAATTAGCACGCATCATATGTGTATATATTAAACAGTATGTAAAATTTTAAGAATCCAGTTAATGTTTAAAACATACATTATGTGTCTATACAACTTTTATGTGGCATCTCTTATAGCAAGAAGGAATTTAACTTTTTATATAATCTTCTGGTCCCTATAGTTCTGTTTAATAAAAATTTGAGTAAAAATATATTTCAGGGTACCCCTTGACGATTTTTTGGTGCCATTCCTGTTTACATCCATTGCCCCCTCCTAGTAAAATGGCTTCCAAAACATGCAGCAGTAAATACCTTATATAAAAATTTATACCTTAATACCTTATATAAAAATTTCTGTTACTTAGGTATGTGAGACACAAAAATTTCCTTAATAGCGTCCAAAAACTATGTAAACTAGAATCTGTTTACTGCTGTTGCCACATAAATTCACAAAAGTAAAAATGAAAAATATTCTGCTTACCTGAGACATTTCTTCCAAAAATCCGTTTTTACGACACTCCACGTACCTTCCATAATGTTGATATGAGCTCTGGTTTCCAAATCTTTAAATGTGACTGCGTAATTTACCGAGAGGTAAATGAAGCCATTTAAATCTTCATTTGCAAGACAATGTTTTCTTTCCCAGTCGTTCTAAAGTTTACCGAAACTTTAGGCTAACTGTACCACCAGCAGGCATTTTAAAGTGTAAGGCACCAAATAAGCAATGTATTACCTAACCAACATCCAACGCATAAATAAGCCTTTATCAATATTTTCCCATCAGTCAAATTCACCTCGGTCACATCATAATAGGATTTCCATAAATGAAACAACAATTTGACGATAATCCAAGGGATATCCTAAAATATAGACTAACCAAAGTTTGTATTTAGTATAATAATAAAAACAAAATATTTGAATCCTGTATAAAAATAAGATAAAAGTTTACAATCAAGTACCCCTTGGGTTAATCTTTGGATTATGGTAACTTGGCGAAAATTTGGCGACCAACCCTGCTACATTAACCTGCTAGTTTTTGTTTTCACGAAGTAAAGGCTTTTTTTTTTTTTAACTCAACATTTTTTTCCAATAATCTGCTAGCTGAATTACGCTTATGCTAGAACTTTTATGGAACAAAAGTGCTTAATCATGACGAAGATTAGGTGCGAAATTGGGAGAAAGTGCAGAATTGCAAATTGCTTGCCGCAAATTTTTTAAGAATTCCATGTACATGTCGACCTATTTTCACTTAAAAAAACATCCCAGAATTGCACAAAAATGGCATTGCGCACACTCTTGACTTTATCCATGTACACTGCTAAAGTCCTAGCTAGTAACCTTTATCGCCTTACCAAAATGTCGCCAAACTACCTGTTACCATATTCCAAAGATTAGCCACTCCTTGATATTTTTCGTGATTTTTTTTTATGCTAAATATGTCAACAAGAAGTAATGTTTGTCAACCAAAGCAACATGAAAAGCATAAGTTGCATAAATAACAAAAGTGCTCACCTTGTTCTTCACAACATATCATCGTCACTGTCGGTTGATGGTAAAATCCTAGTATATATCCTTGGCACAGTTTCGAAAACCGTTGCCAACACCAAAATGATGTATTTACTGCTCATCATAATGTCGCCAAATCCCGTGTGTAACTTGACCAAACGCATATCTTTCATACAAACTGGACATTCATACTAAGCAACTAATTAAACTTTCATTCATGTACCAGTCAATAACAGCTTTCTTATCCTCTCACTCTAAATCATGAAAAAAAACTAGTGTTATCTTGCGAGATATTCTTTTTTAGAGAGGTGACGGAACAAGGATTAATTAGAAACAGCAGATAGAAATCCAGTAATTCAAAATACATGATTTGTAGAACATCATACACACACTAAATCACATAGTCCTTGATCATTAAACTTCAGAAAAACATTGGCACATAGCAAAAAAAAAAAAGTGGTTTCCATAATATTGGGAAAATTGACTCTATTCTAGGTTACCAAAACACCAATACCAGCATTGATATTTGTTGCAAACTTTTCTACACTAGAGCTTTTAATAATTTTAAAATTTTGTTTTTAGAGATTTTTACAGCGCAAGAAAATGGTAACTTGCATCATTCCTCAAAAAATTGGTTGAAAACTTAATTAGGATAATTTTGTCTTCCTTTTTAATGTCATTTAGTAAAATCCTTTCATGAAGTACTTTTCCATTAAAAGCATATTATAAATTGGCAGTAATTGCCATTATAATTGTTACTTTCACTGCCACATTTTTCATCTCTCTCGCTCGCTAAATAGTGAATATTGAAACTTGAGATTTGTTAAAGAATGAGTAAGCAGTTATCCTGTTTATTCTAGAAAAAGATATTCTACACAGAGAAAGATAATATTTGAATAACAATTTTATGAAATTAAAATGTGACTTGAAGCCAAAATGGATATTCAGCTGTCATTCATGGCAAGAATTAAAAAGTGTTCCAAACATAAACTGGTTTGTTGGGTTACGCATTCTGTTTGTTACTGTCATATGGTTCACTTATTTGCAGTGTCAGAAGTTAATATCAATTGAGTATTGCAAACAAAAGCTTCCTTTAAATGAATCACAGCACAATAATTGTGTGACAGAGGTATGGGCCAGTTTTCTGTTATCTCATCATAATATTAAAATTGATGGACTTTAATAAAATTATGGAAATTGAGTAAACTTATTCACAATAAGAAATTCATATGTAACATATGGTATGTTCTCTTCACCGTGTACATTGAATTTTTTGGGGGGAGGAGGGGGGATATTTGTAATGAAATTATATGATGTTTCCTTATTGCTGTTCCCGATTGCTCATTTCATTTAGCATTGAGCCAAAGATACAGAGAAAAAATAAGCCAAAATGTGTGGTGTGGCTTTATTGGAAAAGTACCATTTCTAATTTGTGAATGTGTAATATTGTTTAATTTATGATTTTATTACATTTAGTATGCCTAAAGCATTTTTGCTCAAGTAATAAGTTTTCAAATGATTAAAAATATGTCAGTAATATTCACTTACAATTTTATTACTTTATAATTATTATCTAATAATGATATCGAAACATCCATCAAACTAGAAGCGCTTTTCATTTTTAGTGTATGCAAAGAATGTTAATAGGATTTTTATTGTTTTTATGCCAATATTTGAAGCCTGCATCTATTTTCTCAAGCAGAGTTTCTCAAATTAGGGTACATGTACCGGTAATAGTATATTGTATCATTTTTCGTAGCATAATTTATACATACACGATTTCAATAAATGTAAAATGGGGCTCCTTTTGGTGCATATTGCACCCAGAATTTATATTTTGATACGTGGTGGTACATGTATTGTTTATTCTTATTTATGTTGTATAAAATGCATCTGTTCAGGCACACCGAGATCCTATCTGCAATTATCTTTTGTTCTAAATATTCAGGGTTGATCTTTACATTATGGTAACTTGGCGAAAATTTGGCAACCAACTCTCCTACAGCAACCCTCTATTTTTTTCCCCCGCCGCCATTTTGTCTTCACGAAGTAAAGGGACATGTTCTTTTCTTCTTATTACTGAAACTTCTTCTTCAAACATCTCTACTAGCCGATTACCTTATGCTAGAAATTTTATTAAAACAAATGTTAATCATGACAATATCACTGCAAAATTGGGAAAAAGTGCACATACCATCCCTCCTTACGCGTTTTTCAAAAAATAACACATACAATAAACCATGAAACGCCGGCTATTTTTACTTAAAAAAAATCCCAGAATGCACAAAAAATGGAATTGCGCACACTCTCCACATATCCAGTACATGCTTTTTCTCATAATTAGAAAAAATTTCACAAAAACATGCCAATTTTCTCATTTTAACCCGGGAAAAAGAACATATATAGAATTACCTGATCGTGAAAAAAAGTATTACCCTTTACAAAATGATTATTTCCACATATAAAAAATAAAAATCCAAAAACTTATTACCTCTAAAATCATCTATTACATATTACAGTCACACGAATTCAACCGCAAGCATTAAATACTTTAGTTCAATATTTAAATTATTTCCATGCAGTTTATTCAACTGAAACTTATACAAATTTTACAAAACTAAAATTCACAAATAACTATCATTAATTCAAGTATCACTAACCATGTACACGTCGATATTTTACTTAAAAAAAAACATCCCGAATTGCACAAAAATGGCATTGCGCACAACTCTTCATATCCATGTACACTGCTTTTTTCTAAAATTAGAAAAATTTCACGAAAATAATGACAATTTCTTCAATTTTTAAAACCCGTTTAAAAAAAACTATATGAAATTACCTGACGTGAAAAAAAAAGATTAACCTTACAATATGGACATTCACATATAAAATAAAAAAAAATATCCAAAAAACTATACCTCTAAAGCATCTAGTACATTTACACGTCACCAACGAATTCATTACCGCAAGCATTACAATACTTAGTATCAAACTAATTATTGACATGCACGTTATTTAAACTAAAACGTATACCAAATTCCTACAACATAAAATCACAAAATAACATCATTAATTAAAATATAATTAAATTCAAAAACCACTCTTAAAATATATATGAGCAATACATTAAATTAATAAAAATTACCTACAATCCTAATTACTTTTAACAAATCATTGCAATTAAATTTCCACAAAAATTTTTCACCTTACATTTACGAACAATGAATAAAAAATATCCTCAAATAATTAAAAATACTAATTACCTATCTCTCAGAATTTGATTAGTGGCGGTACACTTTTTAATTATCAATAAAGGATTGAAGCTTTTTTTTCTGCGAATTTTTCCT